GCTCAAGTGAAATCCTCATCATCGATGACTCGCCGATTAAAACTGCAGCAAACACGCACACATATGCAGTGCACCCCATCTCTTGCAGTATGGAAACTAGGGAGAAGAAACCGTATGTTCTGGGGGACCTTGCAAAACGGCTTGGAGCGATGGTGATAGAGAATCGGCCAGTCCAGGAGGTGGCTGCAGAAATCAACCAAATGGCAGATGGAACGGTATATCAAAAGCCATTTGATCGGACAGACACCAGTCATAATTTATGGCATGTATATTGTCTAGCCAAGCACTATCCGCATCTCCATAATCTGCTCAACCGGATGGGTTCTTCGACCACTGAACATGAGCGTGGACGTATTAGAGAAGAGATGGCATTACTATTGGGTTTAAATCCTGATAGTGTGGAGAGTGATGAAATTCCAAGATTATTGTATAGGCGTTGGAGGCAAAAAATAACAGTCTGAGATGGCATGTATTTATTTAAAAATGTAACTTATTATGGCATGGGGTTCCATGCCATTGTATTAATATTAAAAGACAATTCTTTGAGAGGATTTGCATTATACTAGAAGTGTTACAGCATGTTATTGGAAGTCTACGAAGTTGTTTTATTAATAATGGGAAAGTAAAGATTGAATGGGGACTTGGGCTCCACCTAGACTCGGAGCAACTGAGCCAATATTAAAAGGATGGAAAGAAATTGGACGACGATGACAAGGAGAAGAGAGAGGTGAAGCAGTGGCAGGGGGAGGAGAAGTGATTGAGTAGACATTTCCTTGTTTAAAATAAAATGGCATGTGCCTCAATGCAGTTGAATTTTGTTATATTTATATACTATATAAAGGTTTGGAAACCTTATTTTACAAGTGGGATAATGACAATTCCCACTTTAACGAAATAGAGCTTAGAAAGAGTATTAATAAAAATGATTAATACTAATATTTTCTCATTTGAGAAATAATTAAAGTCCACTAATGTGGAAAATGAATAAACCATTATACTAGCCAAGTCTATAGTCTTGGAATTACTTTCTCATAAATATTATCTCCAGCCCAGAATAAATGTATGAACTTGTATTATTTTTTTGCATCTTCTAAAGTGTTTACAACTTTTAAACTCTAGCATAACTATTTATGCTTATCATAGTATTCAACTTGAATGCATTTTTCCATGTGTTCATATAAACTTTGCTCCTAATTGAAAAGGCAACTCCTCTCTCAACCAACTAAAGCCTTGTCTAGACCACCATTGTAGATAGTTTTAATAACTTGTCAATTTACTTGTGCTTCATCACTCATAAAACTATAAAACATTAGTAGTGTTGAAGATCCTATTCTAATTTGGTATGTTTTATTTAATAATGTCTAAAAAAGAACTTGAGTTGGCGTGTCTTCTCCTTTCATCTCACAAACAACTATCACCATCTGTAAGCGACTAAATTTTTCCATTCTACTTTAGTCACTTAACCACACCTTTGACCACTTGGAGGAGTCTCATTCACAACCTCCATAAGTCCCATTCAGGACTTGGGGCTTGCTAGCCCCGAGAATGGCATCCATGCCACTCAACTTTTGCACTTGGTCCAAGTGCTCCACGTGTCCGATCCCATGACCGACACCCAAAGGTACCACTGACATCTTGGCCCGTTACGCTAAGGCCATGCCCATTCACCTTTGCTGCGCAAATGGTCCAATACCACTTGCATCACCATCCCGTCTCTCCAAGACTGGGCCATCTGTCTACGAGGGGTCATCCTAGATCCACTCCTTAGCATCCTTAGGATGCCCACAGACCTGGGGAATCGCCTTCCCCAAAGTCCCTTTGTCAGTTCCTACCAAGTCCCTTTCTGCCCCTGGCCGTGTTTGCCAACACTGCCACTGGATCGAGGCCCACAGGCCCGACCACTAAGTCCCACGGTCCTCTGGGACTTCCTCACCACACGACTGTGTCCTTGGTCACTACCCCAGAGGACTGCTCCTCTTCCTTTCCACAGTCTGGGCCTTTGGGACGATATTTCGGAACACCGTGGCCTTACGCGAGCCACCTGGGTACTCTCCCCACCTATCGCCTTTAGGTGCTCTAGCCATGGGCTTAGAGCGAGGTTCCGTTGAGCCACGCCTGGTATCCAAGTAGGTAGTGCCACCCACACTTGGACTGGGAGCATCGGCCAGTCGATCTCCCGGGGGAACTAGAGCCGGCTCTTGAACACTTCACCAAGCTACCCCGCTTGTCGGTCCGTATTCACTCTAGTCTTGGACTTCCCAATGGTCAGTTCATCACCCAACACTGGGTCTGGCCTTCCTGGGCCAAACTGGCCTTTCCTGGCCAAACTGGCTCCACTGTAGTCCTCCCCCTACTATACTTTTGGAGCTCACCAAACCCCCCAGGGTCTGGGAGACGAACGCTTTGGGCTTTCACCCTCTCAGGCTCCAGACTCGGACTCGGACTCGGACTCGGACTCGGACTCGGACTCGGACTCGGACTCGGACTCGGACTCGGACTCGGATTCGGACTCGGACTCGGGCTCGGGCTCGGTCTCGGCCTCGGCCTCGGTCTCGGTCTCGGTCCCGATCTCGGTCTCGGTCTCGGTCTCGGTCTCGGTCTCGGTCCCAGTCTCGGTCTCGGTCTCGACTTCGGACTCCATCTCGGACTCCATCTCGGACTCCATCTCGGACTCCATCTCGGGTCCATCTCGGACTCCACTTCGGACTCCAACTCGGGTCCACCTCGGACTCCACTTCGGACTCCATCTCGGACTCCATCTCGAGTCCATCTCGGACTCTACTTCGGACTCCAACTCGGGTCCATCTCGGACTCCACTTCGGACTCCAACTCGGGTCCATCTCGGACTCCACTTCGGACTCCAACTCGGGTCCATCTCGGACTCCACTTCGGACTCCAACTTGAGTCCATCTCGGACACTCCCACGTGTCATGTGTTGGTCCTTTTGGGTCCCTTTTTGGAGCCTCGCCTTTTGCTCGCTTCATGCTCGTTCCTCGAGCACTTCGTTGGGAGTTCCACTCCCGCTCTTGACTTTTCAAGTCGGAGCTTTTGGTCCAAACGTGTTACGCTCGTTTGGCTCTCGCTTTGGCCACTACCATGTGGCGCCCTTCTGGCTCCACTTTGGGGCCTAGGGATTTTGTGTCTCACACCATCATGGATTATACTTTACATAAAAGAATATTATTAATAGCATAACTAAATAAATATATATTTACCTTGGATTATACACAATAGTAGTCATTGTAGACTATTTGGGAATTCTATGTGTATGATTAAAGCACACCCAAGAATATTGCAAATCTATATATAGCTGTATCCACTTGATGAGATCAGCTCCACTTCCAATACCATCCATCAACATCTTGAAAACATAATATCATTCTTTGGCTTCAATTTGGATTAGTCCCAAAAAAGTAATGCTTTGGAAGAAGTTGTAACTAAACTCATTTTTAAGCTTTAAAATTGCATCAAAACTTGAGGAATTCTAAAAAAAAGAGAGATTTCCTTTTAGAGTTTTCTATCACAATTTACATCCTATAAAGATATTTTAAAGTAAGTATAAAATAATATTTTAAATTGACTAGATCTTTCATTTATTGGTAAGTGCCAAAAGACTATTGTGAGACACAAAATCCCTAGGCCCCAAAGTGGAGCCAGAAAGGGTGCCACGTGGTAGTGGCCAAAGCGAAAGCCAAACGAGTGTAACACGTTTGGACTAAAAGCTCTGACTTGGAAGGTCGAGAGTGGGAGTGGAACTCCCAATAAAGTGCTCAAGGAACGAGCACGAAGCGAGCAATAAGCAAGGCTCCAAAAAGGGACCCAAAAAGGACCAACACATGACACATGGAAGTGTCCGAGATGGAGTCCGAGGCAGACCCGAGTTGGAGTCCGAGATGGACCCGAAGTGGAGTCCGAGATGGACTTGAAGTGGAGTCCGAGATGGACCCGAAGTGGAGTCCGAGATGGAGTCCGAGATGGAGTCCGAGATGGACCCGAGATGGAGTCCGAGATGGACCCGAAGTGGAGTCCGATATGGAGTCCGAGATGGAGTCCGAGATGGACCCGAAGTGGAGTCCGAGATGGAGTCCGATATGGAGTCCGAGATGGAATCCAATATGGATCCGAGATGGACCCAAAGTGGAGTCCGAGATGGAGTCTGATATGGAGTCTGAGATGGATCCGAGATGGACCCGAAGTGGAGTCTGAGATGGAGTCCAAGATGGACTGAGATGGAGTCCGAGATGGACCCGAGATGGAGTCCGAGATGGACCCGAGATGGAGTCTGAGATGGACCCAAGATGGAGTCCGAGATGGACCCGAGATGGAGTCCAAGATGGACCCGAGATGGAGTCTGAGATGGACCTGAGATGGAGTCCGAGATGGAGTCCGAGATGGAACCGAGACCGGGACTGAGACCGAGACCGAGACCAAGACCGAGACCGAGACCGAGACCGAGTCCGAGTCCGAATCCGGGACCGAGACCGAGTCCGAGTCCGAGTCCGAGTCCGAGTCCGAATACTAATACAGGCAGTTGGGTGAAAGCCCAAAGCGATTGTCCCCTAGGGGGGAGGGGGGGTGAAAACTCCTGGACTCTCTGGACTAGGAGGAAAATGTCCACACAAGATCTTCCTAGGAGATTCAAATCTAATCTAGTCCCTAACTCTAAAACTACACTACAAAATGAATGCACTTACCTGCTTGAGCCAAGCCAAGTAGAGACTGTGAACATGTGCTTGAAGGTGCTAGTCCCACGCCTTTGATCCCTTGAAGGCGGTGGGTAAGTAAGACATTGCTGTGAAGAGCCGAAGAGATAGGCAAAATGACGATGTATTGCAATGTATTTTGTATTAGGGATCTGTCTAAAAACATTCTAAGTCCTACTTTTATAGTCGCTACTGTTCACGTCAAGGTTAGGAATATAGTCCTAACCTTGAACCTCTCAAGTTTACTTTCCTAAGCTTGAATCCTCGAGCTTGTCTTTTTCTCCCTTCTCCACTCTCCTACGACTGCCTTGTGCTGCGTCCCGCAGTCACTGCTCCATTGCTGGTAGCTGCTCCCTCATGTGGCTCCTCCTCCTCTTCCTCCTCTTCATAAGTCTGAGCTGCTTCCTCAAAGTCTTGTGATCTGAATTTGACCAGCTTCTTCCCGAGATCAGTTGCACAAACGCCTCTTCTCGAAACTTTAAACATCCGACTTGAAACAGCCACAACTTCTCCTGGACGGCTTTCAATTTTGCTGCTTTACTACTTACTTCCTCTACTCCTACAGAGCTACAAAGGATGAAACCAGCTTGCCTCTGTCCCACCAGAACCTGAGAAACACACTTCCTCGTCTCTTCACCAACTTCACACCAGCCACGTTCAAGTGCAAACTTTGGCCTGGGTATATGGCTCCTCTTGATGGCTGCTCCACAAGGTTCTGAACTTCTACACCTCTTTGTTGTCTAACATCTTCTTCTTTCTTCTTCACAACAGCTTTCTGCTCCAAGCCAGCTTGACCAGCTGCTGCTTGTTCCACGTCAAACTCTGGCACTGAATTTTTCTTCTGCTCCGTTTGCTCACAAAACTTCGGAAGCACCACCTCAAGTTCCTGCGTCTGAAACACCTTTAGCCACTGCAGGTCTTCGTCTTCTTCTGCTGGTTGCTCAATCTGATCAGGCTGTTCATCTTCCACCAGGTTTTGCTTCAACCTTGCTTCAGCTTGCTCTTCCACATGAAACTTTTCTTTCTGCTGAACAGGTGCTAGCTCCTCTTGGGTAAAACTTCTTGTTTCTTGATTGTTTGATTGTTTGTCGTGTTCTTTGATTGTTTCTGGATCTTGTGCTTGCAATTCAGCTTGAATTGCTTTAAGTATTTTCTTGCTTTTCTTCCATTCGGCTTCTGGGATAATTTCAACTTCATCATTGTAATCTTGTTCTTCCAGATTATCTAGTTGCTGATACTTGTATTGTTGTCTCGTGATAGTTCGTATTGCTGGTTCTTCAAAAGTTTGTGGTTCGTCAATTTCCACCTCAACATTCCGTGCTGCTGGTGGTCTTGGTCTCGGAGCCTGATTGTTTACTCCTTGGTTATTCTTGCGATTTGCATTTTGGTAAGGTTGTCGAGGTTGATTATCTTGTTGTGGTGCAGGTCGCTGGTTGTAATTGTAACCTTGAGCTTGAGGTGGTCTTTGATTATAGTTGCGATATGGTTCTTGATCATAATTGTAATTTCGTGGGGGAGGACATTGGTAGTTGTCATGAGGTCCATCACGTTGCTGATATGTATTGTAGTTTCTTCCATAATTTCCAGAATAGTTGTTTGGTCTTTGATCTTGAGGGGGTATTCTATTGTAGTTGCAATTGTTCTGACGGTAAAAGTTTCCTCTTTGATTGTACAAATTATCATCACGTTGATAATAATTGTTATATCTTGGAGGTTCATTGCGTGGTGGTCGTGCATTTTTATTCCAATTTCCTTGATATCGAAGATTGGGCTCTCGACGAGAAGTATTCTCGATTCTTGAAACTTCCATTGTATTCCTAAATCGGCAATTCTTGGCTATATGGCCTTCTCTATCGCAAATTTGACATTTTGGAAGCTGAAATTTGCATTCCAAATATGTATGTCCTTCATTTTTACACTTTGTACACCACACTCCTTCCTTGAGTTCGGTTTGTGAGATTTTCCTGATTATTTCCTTCAAGTCTTGGTTTTTTGATGGTTTCTTCTTTGTCTTGATGCGGATTTCTTCCTCTTCTTCATCATCTGAACTATCATCGGTTTGTGAAGGTCCCACTTTTGTGAATTGCTTAAATCGTTTTTCTAATGTCAAGATTTCTTTGGAGAGTGTATCGACATTTTCTTCATCCGGATTCTCTGCTGCAGCAGCGAGTGCTACCATGTTTCTATAGATTTCTTTAAGGCCTTGTATATAGGACAAGCTTTTTCCTTTTCCGTTATCAAATCCTTGCAACGCTTTGCATGGAACTTAAATCTTCGAGTGTAATCTTGAATACCTTCACGTGGTTTTTGTTTGAAATTCTTGATGATCTCATAGTGTTCTTCTTGAGTTCCTCCAGTCTGGAATTGTTCTTTAAATTGTGTGATCTTTTCATCATGGGTCATCGCATCATCGAGTGTGTTGTGCCAATCGAGGGCTTTTCCTTTAAGTGTGTATGGGAAAAGTATTTCTCGATGCATTTCTTGCTTGTTCATCTTTACAATTTGATCAAATTGTTTGAGATGCTGGTTCGCATCTTCGGTTTTTCCACCGGTAAAAATGGGATAGGAAATCATGTTCCCTATAGCTGTTGCTAGGTTGATGATTGCCATTTGTTGTTGTAGACTTTGTTGGATAAGTTGTTCTTCTGGTGAATTAGGATATGAGTAAAACTCTGGTGCTGTGAATTCTGCCTCTTCAAACGGCTCAAACTCTGGGACGTCTTCAATATTTGGTTCTTCTTTGTCTTCTGCCGAGTTGCTTGACTCGGGTACTTGAATTTGTTTATCGTCTTTGTCGTACTTCTTTAATATTGTTTCTAAGATTTGTTGTTGTTGTTCTTCTAACTTTTCCTTTTCTATCTCTTCCTTTCTTACTTCTCGAGTCTTTTGTTGAAGATCTCTTTCCCGGATCTTGATTGGGTCTGGTTTATGTTTGTGCATTCAGTTTTCTAAATCTTCTCGACTTAAATGCCGAGGTAAACTTCCTGAATTTTGTGATTCATCTACGGTGTGTTGAATCAAATGTTGTTTTTCATAGATTGCAAAGTCAAGCTCTTATGTCTTGAGTCTTTTGCAGGTTTGTATTTTGTCATATAAATGCGAAGTCAAGCTCTTATGTCTTGAGTCTTCAATCGAGTGTTTGTTTCTCGATTCTTCCCGAGTTTCTTCTCGAGGTCACTTTCATGAGTCTAGCTCAGGAAAGGTCTTGTATTTGAAAAATTTGGTGGTGTAAGTAAGCATGATTTTGTTTGTTGGAAGGAGGTCGGTTGTGTCATAAATTGATCGGTGTAGCTGTTTGCTAGTAATATTTGGTGCTGCTCTCCAACTTTGGGATCGAGCAGGTATGCAAATGATTGCAACTCTCTTTAGGAGTCCAATCTTTTCTAAATTCTTGAATAATTGTTTTGGTCTTTTACAATATGTTGGTCGTACGGGAATGCAAGCTCTCACTATGAGCATTTGTGTTTCCCAGTCGATAGTAATATTTGAAAATGCTAAATACAGTAGTGGTTGTATTTTTAATGTTCTCACTTCTCCTTCTCCGATTGATACGGGTTTCCAACTTCGTGATTCCTGTATGTTTTTCTTCTCAAATGGTGTCCACACGTCAAGGTATGGATTCCAACAAATTTTTGTTGCTTTAAGCCTATGCGTGTGCGGATCTATCCAGCGCTCGTTTGCCCACAGTCCTTCCTTTATCTTGAGGTTAGTAAGCTCATGTATTGCGCTTCCAACCGGTGTAATAAATCCTCTTACAAATTGCTGTCCAAGTATTTCCTGTATTTCTCTAAGCAGGAACCTTGGAATTTCTTCGTAAATTCGAGTGACAGCATCCCAAGTATGCCACTCAACTTCTTCCTTGAGACAAATAAATTCTTGATCAATGTACACGAAAGATCTCCACGAGAGCTCGAGGATGATTCTCCACGTATACAATTCTTGTTTATCTTGTTTTCCTATAAACTGTGCGCCGTGTATGATAGCGCCGTTGCAAATTGGTGTATAGTTCTCCTTGTCTAATGTGTTGTGAACTAAATTAAAGATTCATTCCTAAATCTCAGATGGCAGCTGCCTGATGGCTTCTAAAAAGTTTTGAGAGTCTTGCATCTATCGAGGGATTTCCTCATCTCGCTGGTCTCTCGTGCAAGCCCAAAATTTCCATTTTGCGTCATTGTTATCACTCTCCTTATGTGGGCTACAAAATTTTGGTGATTGTTCATTCTCTTTTATCATTCCTCCCCTTTGGTTCTTTCAATTTGCTGGACAAATTGTGTAATAGTCACAAGACTGTTTCTTTGAATTCTTGAAAGCAACTAGTGCTCTGTTTTTTTTTTTTTTTTTTTTTTTAAACTATCGTCACTCTTTTTGGTGTCATTTTTGTGGGCTATTTCTTCTCATTTCTTTCTCTCTTCCGTTGCGGCAATGTCATCCCTGATTCACAGTCTTGCTTTTGCTTGTTTGCAAGTGTCACATCGCCATTTTGGATAGCATTGCTTGTATGGTTTAGCACAATTTCTGAATCCACACAAAAGGCAGTCCTTGTATCTTGTACAGCTTGTGTCTCCAAATGGGCAGTCGTGCTTTTTCATTCTTCCTCCATCTCCAGCCGCTAGAATTTTCCCTTGGTCGTTTCCTTATCGCAGATTCTTGGAATATTCGCTTTCTTCAACCTCTCGCCAAAAACAGTTACGCGTACGCTCCAAGTTTTCCATGACTTGGGTGGCTTCAATCTTCAAGTGTTCTTCATCTTTTGGTCTTACGCTCCATTTGTTTCTTCATTCCTTCATGCTCTTCCACCATTTTTGTTTTACGGTCTTGTTTTTCTTGATTTTTTGGGCTTTTTCTTCCTATGCCATTTTCTTGAGCGTCTTTGGTCCGTTTTCCTTGAAGTTTTGGGGGAAATGATCGTCTTGATCTGCTCTATCCCTCTGTGGTCGCCAGTGAAAACTCCTGGACTCTCTGGACTAGGAGGAAAATGTCCACACAAGATCTTCCTAGGAGATTCAAATCTAATCTAGTCCCTAACTCTAAAACTACACTACAAAATGAATGCACTTACCTGCTTGAGCCAAGCCAAGTAGAGATTGTGAACATGTGCTTGAAGGTGCTAGTCCCACGCCTTTGATCCCTTGAAGGCGGTGGGTAAGTAAGACATTGCTGTGAAGAGCCGAAGAGATAGGCAAAATGACGATGTATTGCAATGTATTTTGTATTAGGGATCTGTCTAAAAACATTCTAAGTCCTACTTTTATAGTCGCTACTGTTCACGTCAAGGTTAGGAATATAGTCCTAACCTTGAACCTCTCAAGTTTACTTTCCTAAGCTTGAATCCTCGAGCTTGTCTTTTTCTCCTTTCTCCAGGGGGGCTGCGGGGGGTTCCAAAAGTATAGTAGGGAGAGTGTGGGGGTTGGAACCTAGTGGAGCCAGTTTGGCCAGGAAAGGCCAGTTTGGCCCAGGAAGGCCAGACCCAATGTTGGGTGATGAACTGACCACTGGGAAGTCCAAGGCTAGAGTGAACACGGACCGACAAATGGGGTAGCTTGGTGAAGTGTTCAAGAGCCGACTCTAGTTCCCCCGGGAGATCGACTGGCCGATGCTCCCAGTCCAAGTGTGGGTGGCACTACCTACTTGGATACTAGGCATGGCTCAACGGAACCTCGCTCTAAGCCCATGGCTAGAGCACCCAAGGGCGGAAGGCGGGGAGAGTACCTAGGTGGCTCACGTAAGGCCACGGTGTTCCGAAATGTTGTCCCCAAAGGCCCAAATTGTGGAAAGGAAGAGGAGCAGTCCTCTGGGGTAGTGACCAAGGACACAGTCGTATGATGAGGAAGTCCCAAAGGACTGTGGGACTTAGTGGTCGGGCCTATGGGCCTCGATCTAGTGGCAGTGTTGGCAAACACGGCTAGGGGCAAAAAGGGACTTAGTGGGGACTGACAGAGGGATATTGGGGAAGGTTATTCCCCTTGTCGGTGAGCATCCTAAGGATGCTAAGGAGTGGATTTGAGATGACCACTCATGGATGGTTTGCCTAGGCCAAGACTGGGATGCATGTGGTATTGGACTACCAGTGTGGCAAAAGTGATTGGGCATAGCCTTAGCGTGACAAGCTGCCATGTCGGTGGTACCTTTGAGTGTCGGTCATGGGATCGGACATGTGGAGCACTTGGACCAAGTGCAAATGTTGAGTGGCATGGATGCCATTCTCGGGGCTAGAAAGTCCCAAGTCCTAAATTGGACTTATGGAGGTTGTGAATGAGACTCCTCCAAGTGGTCGGAGGTGTGGTTAAGTGACTAAAGTAGAATGGAAAATTTAGTCGCTTACAACTATCCATTGTTTTGCTTAATTATTGGGGTTAAAGTGTCATAGTGTTTAAATTGATCATAAATTTTTTTGAAGAATTAACTCATTTGCTACTTTAGTAGTATACTGTAGGTTGAGATCTTGGATTGATTTGCTACCTTTGAAATAATAAATGTAACCACATCCAAAGACTCTAAGCATATCCTATTTGCCATTGGATAGTTATGTTGACAAATGTGAATTGCTGCTTTTATGAACGTTACATTATTTGGGACAATAACATTCTCCTTCATATCATAGAAACTCTTTGTAAAAGTGACATTTTATAGAACCAAGTTGCTCTGTAAGTACCTCACCTCATTTATGTAAAATATGTAACACACTATAAAACTGTTTGCAATTGAACTTTTGAAACCAATCGTAGTATGGGCTAAGCCATAAGTTTCACCCAAACAAGTCATTAATGGTAATAAATTCTTATAACTATAACTTTATTTCATTTTCTCCAA